ATTATCAGAGTTTAATCCATAAAGTAAATGCAATAGAAAATGGTGTATTTTTTTAGAAAAATACAAGGCAACTGAGTTTCTGCCTTTAACCCAAGTTTCAAAGTCAGGCAGGCGAAGGAGCAAATTACAGGTTCAGATTTTGAAAGAAAATAATTCTGCCATGATTTATGTATGTTGCAGTAACAATGTGTTACGAGCTATCAAAATGTTTATTCAAGTGTAAAAAGTCAAATAAACACATTCCGAAATGTGGAAAACAGAGAAGATTTGGATCCTCACCGCTGATTTCTGGAAATGTTAACGATTTTTCTTTTCTTTTTTGTCAGACTGGGTCAGTGCTCTTCTGTGGCGTCATCCGTTCTGGTGCAGCCTTTCCATCACGAGGCAAAGCCATGCACTTGAAATTATTTGTTGGGTTGTGTTTTTTTAATTTCTCTATTTTGAGGATAACCCCCTGCATGGAGGGTGAGGGGAGAAAAACCCCTGTGCTGGGGGTGGGGTGGTGGTATTGGCACCAGCACAGCTTTGCTGTGGTTGCAGTGAGCTGTCTATGACTAACTCCGAGATTCGCCCCACGGTGTTAAAATACATCATAGGCAAACCGAACTGTTTAAAGCTTCAGCTTGGATATTCCCACCATCTCCCACATTCAGGTGCTCTGCAGATGAATTATCTTTTGGAAAATCTATCTGCAGATGTCTACATCTTAGCTAAAACTTCCCTAGATCAGCTGTAGGTGGGTCAGGTGTTTGTTTTTTTCAAGCAAACTTCCTGGCCCTTGCTAGGGCACTTGGGTCCACGCCATGGATGCTCTTGGAGAACATAAGTGGACTTTCAGACGCAGCTGCACCAGTACATCCTGGCCATGAAACACCATCCACTCCTCCAGAATAGGCTGAATCAAAAAAATACAGAAGGCTGAAGTGAATGCAGGAGGGCAATTAAGTCCCAGCACCACTTGTTTTACTCTACTGTCCTCAGATCTTCTTGGTCTGCATTGCTTGGTAATGGAGATGTAGTTGTAGCTCCACCTGGATGCCTCCTACTCTTGAAGCACGCATTTCTCTCTGTTGACAACAATTTCATTGCTGGGATTAAACAGGTTGTGTTCTAGAGGTGCACGTTTCCGTCTCATAAAGGCAACCTGTGGTGACCAGGTCATACGTTAACTTCCAGCCCTGGAGAGGACAACCATATCTTCAACAGCTTCAAGTTAAGAACATGCTAAATATTTAAAAATATTTCAAAATTTTAAGATACTAGAAATATTTAAAAACTTGCCAAATACAAACAGAGCTACTTGTGAGCATAAGCCCATGTTTGCAGAGCAGAAGCTTTTATTCTGAGTTTTCTTCTCATCTCAACAGGAACGTGGGAAGCTTCAGCCACATAAACAACCCAGAAACATTAATTAGGCTTTTTGGTTTGGGGTTTTATTGTTTGCTTGTTTGTATTATTTTGTTTAGGTTTGCCAATTGATCATTTGAATGCAGAAATTTAAAAAGAAAATACTACCGTAACTTGAAATTTAAAAAAAAAAATCTGCTCAACCTGCTCCTCATAACATATTACACCAAGTCCAGCTCCCACAAAAAGGGACTGGTGTAGATTTTTCAGGTGTTGATCAATACTAATGTATTTTTTGTGACAAGAGGTACACAAGCAGCTAAAGAGATAAATCAGTCGAGTCACAGTGGAAGCAAAGTGTCGTGAAATGTGTTACAGGTTAAGGGATAACAGAGAGAACAGTGAAGCACCGGGCTGAGTCCTCTTGTACCACCGGTGCCTAAAACCGCATTCAGGCACATGAGAGGCAGCACGACAAGGGTGACCAACTGGAAACATCAAACCCTTTTTTACCTGCTTGCTTAAATGGAGAGGAGTTGGTAGATGCAGTGCCTGCAGCTCCTTGAGAAGCCCATCCGATGGGTCGGAGCCACAGCAGGAGGAGAGCTGCCCAGGAGCAGATTGCCCAGCCTGGCTGGCAGATGGATTTTATCCTCAGATGCTTGTGCAAGCCACTCTCCCTCAGGACCCTCCTCCAACTGAGAATTATTTTGACCCACTCAGCAAAAGCCTTTTCTGATTCCCCACCCACCAAAACCTTTCTGGCTGCACCCACACCTGCAGAGCAGCTCTCCTGTAGGGACTTGCCTGTGCCATCACCCGGTCCTGCAGAAAGACAAGTCCAAGGCAGTTTGCTTTTTAATTTATGCAACTATTGCAAACTTCTGTACTGAAAAAAATACCCCTTACCATCAACAGGGAGATCTGGTTGATGAGCTCATGTTGCGTTGAAGGATGCTGAAAACAAACCTAACAGAGTATCTGCTTTTTGAATGGTTTGAGCGTGGCCATGGGGAGTCTTCTTCAGCAGATATATTTATTTCCATAGACTTTACTGGTGTCTGCACAACAGTTTGCTCAAAAGCATCATTTTACACAGCTGCTTTGACAATGCGACAGGATTAACTCAGATTTACCAGCTCTATTCTGATGCATTCTGAGTGCCAATGTTTCCTGGAAGCTTCTGCTATGTGAAGTGACATTATAAAGCCCTTAGTACAAATATTAAATTATAACTTTGTCCCAGACATTTAGAAAACACAAAGAATGGGGCAAATGGAAGAGAATACCAAGCCATGAAAATGTGGCGAAGCAAGATGGAGAAGTATATAAATGTTTTTAGATGTTTTTAATGTAGATTTGTTTTTCTGTGGGAAGGTACCAGACTCTTAGTCCTGGAGATGCACTTCAGGTGGGTAGGAAAGGATTTCCCCATATTATTTGTTTATTCCCCATTCGGTACTGGGCTAAAACCAAAGCCTGTGAAGTGGTAGAAGCAACATAATAGGGAGAGGGGAAGTAAACCTCACTCAAATTTAGGACAAAAAAAAGAGATTTCAAAGATTATTTTAAAGACATGGAAGATACTTGGTTGAGCAGGGTGTGCATCTGCAGAGTGGATAATGCAGCTTGAAATCCCAGATCCAGACAGCTTGGTACTGCATTTCCTCCATCACCATTGTAAGTTGACCCCAGACCATCAATACTTTGGCTCTTTGAGGCAAAGGAAGACCCAAAATCCTCCCTCCCACCAGCACTCTGGCCCTTCAGATGCCTGGTTAAATTCATGGCAGAGCAGAGGCTCAAATACAACTTGTCCCCATTTACCATGAGTGCTTTGATGATCAACACACCATCACAGCGTTATTTCACATGACCTCACGTTATAGTCTAGACCTAACCCTACTGAAAAATTCAACTAACATCCTTCTAATAGCAGGAACATCACCAGAGGACATTCATTGATATAAAACATGGGAGTTCAGGCACTGGCTGGTTTGATGTTGGCAGGGCAAAGCCACTGCCTGCATTCTCCTTTCAGCTCTCCAAAGCCTGAAATGAAGTTGATTATTACTTTTTAAAAATATCTAAATAACAAATAATATTTATTTTAAGTCATATTGAAAGAACATTTTGTATAATAACTTTCTGCCCAGTACATGGTCTCTCTCAGGTCTCAGGCTACAGCCAGGGTAAGTCCCTAGTGCAGCGTGTAGACTTGGTTCAAGGAGAAACGTGTTTTACAGGTGTCCTGCTTCCAGGTCCATTTAGTCCCTGCTTCATGAAGGTGCCATTTCTAACCCTCCTTACCATGGAAGGGTAGCCCTCTCCTTTTAGCTGACCTGGAACCATGGATGGACAAGAAGGAGAGGACCCTACATTTTGTTTTCCACATGGTGTTCTTCATCTCTGTGTTTCTTAGGCTGTAGATAAGTGGGTTCAGCATGGGAACTGCAATGGAGTACAGCACGGAGACCACCTTGTCGTGCTCCATGGAGTGCCTGGAGCTGGGGCACAGGTACATGAAGAGGGAACTGCCATAGTACAAGATGATGGAGACCAAGTGAGAGGCACAGGTGGAGAAGGCTTTGTGCCAACCAGACGTGGAGTGGATCTGCAAGACAGTGGAGAGGACTGACAAGTAGGAAACTAGGATGAAGACCATGGTGCTTAACACATTGAACCCCACCACGGCAGAAACCATTGCCTCATTGATATGGATGTCAGCACAGGAGAGGGCTAGCAGTGGTGGTCCATCACAGAAGACATGACCGCAGAGTAGAGCAGGGGCTTACAAATGGCCATGTAGTGATCATAAGCCATGCCAGCCAGCACGTAGCACTCTGCAGTGGCACAGGTCGCAAAGGAGAAGAGCTGAGTGGCACACCTAATGAAGGAAATAACCTTCTTCTCCACTAAAAAATTCAGCAAGGCTTGAGGGATGATTGTGGAGGAGTAACAGATGTCCAGAAAAGACAAGTGGCTTAGGAAGAAGTACATGGGAGTGTGTAGGCACAAATTTAATCTAATTAATGTAATTACTCCCAGATCTCCTGTTAGAGTGACCACATAGATAGCAAGGAATAAGATAAAGCATATCACCTGCAGGTCTTCTTGGTCTGTGAAGCCCAGGAGAATAAACTCGGAGGCAAACGTATAATTATCTTCAGCCATATCAGATATATAATCTGTTCAGTTGCTTTATGTCTTTCAGATGGAAATGTTTAATAGACCCTAATCTGTCAATAATGTTAAGAATGTCAATTTTTGCCGATCAATCAGTTACACCACTTTAAGTCAATATAAGGTAAATTCTCTTTGAGAGAGGAAATCCTCAAGTTCCTGGCGCCAGTCTCTCCATCCAGACTTATACAGGTGCATAGAGCACCAGCAACACACTTGGAAGTGCGTGGCTGTTTTAAGGCAAGGAAGGAAGATACCATATCACAATAAAGTGTAAATAAATTGCAGAGCTTTCTCATCGTTTCTCTCAAGCCATATACACATGGCAGTCCATGATTTTCACAATTACTGCTGGGAAAATGAAATTATTTCTCATCTTTTCAGTGCTCCCAATCCAGTGTGAGAACATGAAGAATAAATATCTGTTCCCTGTGTCCCAGGAAGAGTTATTCTAGCTGAAAGCACTGGAAAATGCAACTTTCCTTAGTAAATTTTTCCTAATGTAGAATCTTGCCAGGATTTGCCTCACCTCTCTTTGCTTTAGATGTGATGCCTAACTTGGAGTTAAAAGATAAATTCAGGCTTGCTCTCTCTGCTCACCAGGGAGAAATGAGCAGGTCCTGATATCACACTCTACGACAGATAGAATAAATAAACATTGATTTTTCCTGGATAACATTAATCATCGCTTGACAGAATTACACCAGAGAGCAAAGCAAGAGTGCATACTGCCTGGCGGCTGACAAACAGATCCAAACTTAAAAGTAATAATTATTTGATGACCCTTTGCTGAAGGGGTGAGGTTTACCTCCAGATCCAGACATCTCATTTCAGATGTCCTGTAAGCAACATGTCTGGCCTGCTGGTGTTATTAATGGGGATTTAGAGCTGCTTTTCACTGCCCACTTAGAGATGCTGGAGGCGAAGCAGCGTCTGAGACCTCTGCACGCAGCTGGAAGATGTGTTACAAATAATGAAAATCGAGTTGTTTGGGTCTGGGGCTGAGTCCTTCCCCAGAGGCAGCATCCACCTGCCTAGATGCAGACATCTACTGCCATTTGAGAATTGACCTGAATTCCACAATTAGCTAAGGCTCACCTTTACTTTTTCCCTACTTGACAAGCCAGCTGCTTTGTGTGGAGCGATCCAAGGTGTAGCTATGGAACGCAGGAGGAGTACAAGGCTTGTGCCGTGCATTATAGCTCCTCACCAGGAACCACATCTCCCCACAGCTTGAAGATACTGACTGGAATGGAGGTAAATTAAATTAAAAAACAATACCTTGCTGTCATGGGTTAGATATTATTTGTGCTTATAGCCAGGTGGTTGGTCCACACTCCGCTAAATAACTGCCAGCAAACCTCCAAACATTTATCCTTGTCCTCTGGGGGAAAGGACCATCATTTGTGATGCCTGCTTTCCTATTAAAATATCGTAAGATCTTGCATCTCCTGGGCAAGCCAGCACAAGACCTTTCAACAAGCTGCCCTAGGACTCACCCAGCAACCTGTTGTTAGCGTTTTCCAAGATTTAACTCATGCTGTTATGGCTAGGAGAAAGACCAGAGACTGTTGAGACCCTCCAGCTGAGCCAAGCCTTGTAGAACATCTCTCTGGTTAGACAGCCATTACTCTGCTCTCGTGGTGGACATTATCCCCAAAGCCTGGATATGGGAACAAGAGGAAGGTGCCAGATATGGTATTTTCACAGCCAGGATTATTTCTTCTTTGTTTTCGGGTCCGATTGCAGTGGTTTTTATACTCACAGCTGTTCCTCACTCCAGCTGGAAAGGTACACATCTTTTTCCATGTAACATCAACCCAGAGCTTTGCCTTTCGCAGTATTTGCAGAGCTGGGGGTAAAATAAGTCAGGGAATAACATCTTATCCTCCAGGGAGCTGTCAGACCAAGCTAGGTGCAGTCTCTGCCAAGCCCAGAAGGGTCCCAAGACCCTACTGCCAGGTCAAGATATAGCCAAGGGGTTTTAAAGTTAATGACACCAGAAGATGTTACCTGAACAATAGAAACTCAAAAATGTTGCCTTTAAGGGTTTCATACATCCTAAAAAAAAAAATAATCCCAAAAGGTAGTTTATTGTGATATTTGTGTGTAGCTTGCAATATCTGTATGCAAAACTTTTTTTTTTCCCTCCCACAGAGTGGCTTTTCTTGGAAACATTGACCCTCAGTGCAGATTGCATCTGATGAGAAATCCAGCACTTCCTTTTCCCAGTTTATGCCCATGTTCAGAATCTTTCTTTAAAAAAAGCCTTGATTTTCATTTTTGTGTATCTACCTTTATTTTTCAATCAGAAACTCTTCCTATGCTTTGCTCCCAAAGAGGAGAGGTGGCTGCACCAACTGCAGTTCCTTCCAGGAAAGGACGAAAGTCACCTTTTTATCTGCTAAAAAAAAACAACCAAAAGAAGTAGGGAATGACCCCAGTTTTATCCACCCAGCACTCAGCATTTCATAGCGAAGGTTGTGTTTCTTCTCCATGAAGGTCACAAGGATGAATCCACCATTCTGACCCAGGAACCTGATCATGATATAGGCAGCTTCACCCATTTAATTCAGCATCCAAGAGCTCTGGGAGCAGCTGCTCCCCTGGGATTATTTAGGTAGGGATTGGCGCGCTCTACATAAGTCAGCAACAAAAAATTAATTGCTGCATCTACATGGGATAAAAGTTCAAATATCTCTCTGTATTTTCATTTATTATAAAATTTGGGGTAGCTTTGTCAGGAGTAAAGATGTGCTGTAGGGACCCTTTCTGAGAGCGATCTGTGGATCTACAGGAAACAGTAGACGTAGGAGGTAATAATTTAAAATACTAGGAATTACCATGTCAAGTTGTGTATGATTAGCCCAAACTATTTCAGAGAAAAATAATTCATAACTGTCTCAATCGTTTAAAGACTCACTCAAGAATTGAATTTGGAAAAATAGAAGTTTAAAGTGTCATTTCTAAATGCACGGGGAACTTCATCAGAAGTTTGTTCAGACATCCAGCATTGCCCACTCGTTTTTGACAGCCTTAGGAGCTCAGCCGACGCTGAGGAAAGAAATCTGAATGGGATGAGCCAACTGTAGGAGCGAGATGATGGGCTTGTTTTATTTACGTGCTCTTTCCCGCTTTCCTGAACAAGGACAAGGCACTTCGCTACCCAAGCTACGTGAAAAAAAAATAAATCTCTAAAATAGAAAGGAACAGATATTCCCAACAGTGTCCAATAGATGGTGACAACGTATAAGACATCCTGATTGGTAATTTTCTAGCCATTAGTTTAGCATTTCCCTCCCTCTCCAGCACTCCCTTTTCATACCTGAAACTCTGTTCTGACCATTTCACGTCTCTCAGGGCTGACAACAGAACACAGTGGTACATAGAAGGAACGAAAATAAGTTGTTCATGTATGAATAGGCATGGATTTTATTCTGAATTATATGGAATGCAACTTTTGAGAAGGAAAGAGGCATCTAGAGAGCAGATACATTTGTACACTGTCATGCCTTGCCTGCGACAGTGAGAATCAGCTTCAGGCTGGTAACTTCAGTAACAAATAAATAAAATAAAATAAA